TATTGACGATAATCATGGTCAATTCAAGTTAGTAACGTCATGTACTCAATAGTAAGAGAGAATAAGGTATACAAAAACGGAACCAAAAGGCAAACTAGCGAACGTCAAACACGTCAAGCTTCAAACTTTACTTAAGCAGCAGTAGCATATGTCTTAACCACTTAATCACTATGACGACCGTTAAATGTCCCCATAATTTTTATCAACCTGCATCTTTTGAAGACCTTGTTCATCGATTGACGACTTCCTGCACGTAAATCGTTCTAATGGGAACAGTTCCTTGAATATCGAATCAACTGCGATATTTTAATACCAATTGCTGTGGATGCAGCGTGGTTGCTATCTAGAAATTGAAAATTCACTACAGCTAAATTTAAATCATCACGCGTTTCATACAGCTTGGTGGAAAGCAGTCCATGTTGAATTGGTTGTAGGAAAAGACAGAAAAAACCGGCTAATGTAGAAGAGTCTGCTGTGTCTTGAAAATTTAATAACTTCTAGATGTGGCATAGCAAGGACTTTTGGATTTATACATAATTGAAAAATATGATTGTTGTTTGAATTTCATATGTTGCGGGTGTTCGGGATTACATAATGTGTCAACCGTGATATATCATATTAGTCAGTTAAGTTCATGTGGCCATCTTCTCTAAACTTGAAATATGAAAACGTATTCCACGTAAAGTGATCTTGAACCCTTTTCCTAACAAAGCTACATGTGGGTCCCAAATAACTTGTTCCCTTTTTTATTACAGATAGAAAACTGGAGAGATGAAATTCATCCCGATGGCGCCGCAAATCTCAGCGGGTTTGATGTTGCACTTAACCGAATTTCCGTCAATATGGAGTGGCACAACAAGTACTATGAACGGGTGGCCCAATGGCTCGAAAACTACGTCGGATCCGGACCGTAAAGTTTGCAAACATTTTGCGAGCATTCAACAAGAAATTGAAATTTCAAATCCGTAAATATCAATAGTACTGGAACGTGATATCGCAATCAAATTTCCAGGATTCCATATCGACAAATACATGTAAACAAGTGTGTAGACAACGTGGCGGTGTGGATATATCATTACAAACACTGCTCGAGTCCAACTGTAACTGCGTGCTTTTTAGCGAAGAATGGCAAAACCCTCACTGAATCCTGTCTAATGAGGGTATCTTAATATCCACACCGTATATAGAGAGACCAATATATCGTGACCATATTATCACATCGAATGATTCATTAGGTCATATTTGATTATAAATTGATTTTGAAATATATCCGTATCAAGCTCAAGCAAGAAAACACGTAATAGTGTTGGGCGTATGTCCATAATGATTGCCTGAAGTATATATATATGGTAGAGGTAGGTAGAGATTGTAGTGTGGTGTATATATAAACATTATGTATTGAAGAGCTTACCTAAGCTGTCATAAGACTCTCTGTATACATCGGCCATTAGTTTATAATTTGACCTGAATGCGAACACTTGCAAGATTTCTTTTCGTCTTTTTTCATAAAAAGTTATTCCTGTTTAAGAAAGACTGTTAACATTACATCATATTAACCATGATTTAAATTCAACATAAGCGTTTCCCTGGCTCCCAATCAGCTTTAAACGGTTGCTTTTGTTTTATTATTGAAACACTCGCTAACATTTGGTTTTGGTTGTTTATAAGGGGAATGAAATATTCACTTCGATGTGAAAGATTCGCTTCACCATTAAATCATCCTTATACATAATAAAACTTTGTTGTTTTCACTAATATATACCATAATTTTACTTTGCTTACTCAATGTCTTCTCCCACAGTATCACCTTGACAAATAGTTCTAATGACCCTACCTTCATTCACCATTAATCACGTGCAAACACTCGTAACATGTGACATCTTCACTGAATAGCCAATCAGCTGATGTGGTCGTTATTATCACTGCTACTCATTGCATACCTTCAGTGGTCGTTGTTGGTGTAACTAGTCCTTTTTCAGCGGTTATTTATGTTCTCCATCTGTTCCTTGTTGTTTGTGGAAATGAACAAGGCATTTTACCGTGATTTGACCGAGTATTTAACACGTCTCTTTTCTAGATGGTCAGCTGTCCACGTGCAGTTTAGTCATGACCATTTTGTTACGATTGCTTTGGGGTTGAAACAGGCGGGCTTTCGGTTTTTTTATTGTACAGGGTTAGGGGATGCTCAGCTCACATATTCCGTTGTCTTATCCAGTCTTGCCTTCCTTACCGATCCCGGGATGGTCGTAGCTTTACCTTCCTGTCCTTCGGTCAAGGGTGGTAGCGCATGTCTTTAGAGAGCCAGTTTGGCCCGTTTTATTGTCACTCCACACTCCCATTCTCTTGTGGGTTTGGGTACAACTCCGTAAACATCCAAGTTGGAAATCTTGGGATTTGGTTTCTACAACTAGGGCTGGCTAAAATGATAAGGGTTTGTTGTCCGTAGCCTTGACCATTAGACATTTGACATCTAAGCTTCCTTTTATGGCCTCTTTCAGAGTGTTTCTCTGGAGATAGGTCCCTATTTCTCACTTTCTGTTACGACTGCCTAGGACCATTACGTCACAGTAGGTCATTGGACAAGACGATACATGTTTCGAGAGTGCATGACAAGTGGAAAGATTGGTTTATCCTTCAAATCAGATTCCGTCAAAAGCTGACTTCATTACTCTACTTATTTATCGTTTGGCCAATTTGCCTGAAAAACACATAACCTCAACATAGTAGACTGTTATTTAGGACAGAGTTACGTTTGCTACGAACTGGACTTGAAAAGCATCAGCTGCCTTGACGCTATCTCATTTCTTTTACCTGGTATTAGCTTGACTGTTCTCCATCATGAGGAACTGTCCCACAAAAGGTCACTTCCTTTCATGGTTGCTGACAGCTCCCTTCTATTGGGGGGTACCAAATTTTCTGATCAGAAGGACTTAATAAGGTTCAGTTAACAGCGTGGTCGTACATTGCATGGTTCTGATCCCAAGGGCAAACCTCGCTGAAGAATTGACAGTGGCTAATGGAAACATGGTAAGGAGAAGAACCCTCCAGGATTCAAGAAGAAGAGTTCTTTATCCTTTCTCCATCATCGTTATCATGACAACACAGTCGTCTCGAAAGGTGGATGACATCCTTCACGAATACGGAAATTACAAAAGACGTTTGGGCGATCTCCGAGGCCACGAAGGGATAAGGAATCCCCTTTCCCCTGTTATATTTTTACTTTAGAAAAAAAATTTGGGACATATTCTCATTATTAGAACATTCAATAAGCACATGGAATCCCATCGCTTCAAGATAAAAGACATCATGGGATATCATCGCCTCAGTGCGGGGTATGTGGGCGACATCAGGGTATTAATCTTTCACCTTTGCGGACGTTTAAATTTTTAAATTCTCCGATAAATATAAATATGGTTTCTGAAGGGAGACTTCACGTTGAGTCTTTCCGTTTGTTTCTGTAATCAACTGGGTTCCTTCAATGGATTGGAAAGCATTATTTTCATTTTTTCGAGGCGGTGAGGCAGTTTTCTTGATGGCGGGCCTTTTAGTACATCATCTTGCAGGGTATCCTTTGCCAAAGCATGCTTTCACTATGACACCGACCTTTATGTTAGGCTGGCAAACTTACCTCGACAGTTATGTCCTGTAAGGGATTGGTCTGGAAAACAACTGCGGTCGATATGAGAAATGTTTGCTTAGCTGTACAATCCTTACGGGTTACTTTGCAGTCCAACGTGGCTACCGACGTATCTACCGTTGACGCGTACCTGGAGAAACAAGGGTTCTTCCAACTGATTCGAAGTGGATCTATCAGGTTGTGATATTTTTATTTGAGAACTTTGATGATGATATTCGGGTTCGGTATAGTGATAGAGCTCATGAAGTTCTGCATTTTCTTCAATGACTTTACTTTTGACAAGCATCTCGGAGCGTCATCTCCCACTTGTCGAGGAGAGTGTTTCATCTTTTAATCTCGGACTTCTTGAAGCTTACCTTCTCCTATTTCTTAAGTATTGTATTACTGAAATTAAAGGGTTTTCGTGTAAAACTAATTTTCATAATGTAATACTTACCATAACTGTATTGAGATATAGTCCACCTCCCATTTACTCCTCCTCTGTGACATAGCTTTGCCGTTTTCGTTTGGCTCAGAAGATTCGTACGTGAGTATTGGGAAAAGTAGACGGGACAATTTGAAATCATTGTTAATGAGATACTAAGATGTTCACTAAACACTGGTTATCTCTAACCTAACTAACATTTAAAGAACCGGGGCCTGATGTTACGTGAATGCAAACTCTTAAAGTTCCAGGTCATTGTTAATAACAATAAAACTACAAGGATTGGACATATCAAACCACATATCGCCTAAGGATGCAAGCAGTTTTCCAGAGAGATGATGACCGAAGAGTTTTTATTTCAGTCTTCATAAACATACTCCGACAGTTGTCGACAACTATTGCATTCTTATTGACAACTTCGAGACAATGTTCATAAAAGCGCACATATCACTAAGACAATTTCAAGATGATTTATTACTTAATTCACAACTGTTACATTTGACGAAAAGGTTAAGAATTTTTACACCATTTTGAATTCATAACGTAATGTCATTGTTTACGTTATGATGTCAGAATTGAATTCTTGCTGACGCAGCCCATGAAAACGTTTCAGAGTTCTATTACTACTAGTGGCATACTCCTTGGTAAAAGTTCGATTATGTGTTAATTTCTATGACAATGGATTACTCTATCATTTTAACATCTAGCGCTTGCATTTACGTAATAGTTAAGGTCATTAAACTTTGTGTAATAAAATTAAGCTGTCAACCTCAATCACATTGTGAGTCTCTATAAATAAGCATTTTGTCCTTGAATTTTTTTAAATCTAAGATAGATTTTCTTACAGTTACGCCTGACTAAGTAGCACTTACTTGTGTAACGTCCTGCACTACAAGTATTTCTGTAAGGCCCGGACACAAGTGGATAGCTTCAGACGAAATGTTTGGAGGCTCCACCGACAAATTTGATTTCTCTGATATTGAGGGTAGAAAAAAGATGGGGCGTAACGATGAGGATGGTGGCTGCAGAATGTCCGGTGCATCGGGGTTTCTGATGGTGTTGCTTGCCATAGCTATCGCAGTGGGTGTTGGACTGATCGTGCATTTCGCTGGAAACCAAAAGGAACTTAATTGTAACTGCCAGTGTGGACCAGCGGAGGGCGTTGTCACAATGGCTCCAGAATTTCTAACGGAAACATGCAAGGCTAAAGCTGTTCTAGGGAACCAAGAGCTATGTAAGTCCATTTTGTTTTAAATTGTTGCTATTTTTCAAAAATGAGGTAAACATATATGGGAATTTAACATTAGCATCGGCCCTACTTGGAATTTCAAAATATGATAAACAGATATGGGTATCGGGAGCTTAAATACGGAAAAGTTAGTCTCGGAATGGATTTCTTATAAAATGGTTACTCCTTGACTAACACCTTGGTAGGTGTTAAAGAAGTTGTTACATTATTTCTTCTAGGGCATTATTATGTGGCGATTCCAATCAAATTTTGTCATTAATGGGTGCACATTGTACCAACTAACATTTAGGTACCACATATCACATTATTTCAGGAGAAACGTTTTATTTGTGTTGGAGAATGCAGCCAAAATTCATATAATAAGTCATTACTTTTGAGAAAAGTACCGTTTTGGACATTTTAATTTTCATACTTCCGAAACCAATCTATTTTTCATACTTGATTAAAAGTTGGCCACAGACGATATATTTCAAAATGAGGATTCTTGGAAAAAATGAAAACTAGTAAATTTGTAATTTTACACATTTGTTTAAAAAAACTAAGAAACACTGATATTTTTTTTTATCATTTTCGTTAAATAGTGACAGCTTAATAACCAAAAGTCTGTAGGTTTTGCTATTTGACAAGGTGGTTGTTCATGTCAATATTTATCAGTTTGGTTAACATTGCTGAACTTTACCTCTGTTCAAGGTCACAAAAATGAAATTTGTTAAAATAAAGACATTTTTGTGCAATTTTCACAATTTGAAGATTTCGTTAGCAGCTGTATACAAATCTTTTGATGAAGGTCAATAAAGTGACCTTATTGGATAGATTATGTACAGTAATAGTGACTGGTTTTGCCTTTTTCAGTTCCGATCCATAATTGTGGCCCTTTGAGAAGCTAATAAGAGATAGAACAGTTACAGCACATTACATTACGTTTTTGTATAGTAGAACTGCTGAAATGATTGCTTGTTTGAACTTTAGTGTTGCATGGACTGGGTTAGTTTGATCTTGATGCTGAACATGGCCCAAGAAATGCAAAATGCATGCAACATGTGAACACATTCCAACGGTTCGCTTGCCCGCTGGACAGATACAGTAGTAATCTTTGACAGTGTCATCTTAATCATTTCTGTCAAACGCAATCCAAACATTGTATTGACTGTGATTTGTGTCTTGAATGGATTTGGCCTCAGAGAAGATTTTCATCTTGCTGATAGACCCAAACTCAGATGTTCAGCAATAAATCTGGGTGTTACTTTCGACTGGTATGATCCGCAGGTTACTGCTTCTAAATATTCCATATCCAGTACTGGAAACTCTGTTGAACAGGCATCAAGTTTCACCCAGTTGGCCTTGTTGCGTTTAAAAAGGTCAGGTTCATATGCAACCCTTGATGCCAAGGTGTTGGGCAGAGCCAACCGGAATTGCATTAGCTCAGCAAGACGACGGTCCCTCATGTACCTCTCAGGTGTGGACACATAAATTAATCCACGTACAGCATTCAAGGAAGCAGCAGCTACTTAAACCAGTTCCGCTGTGACACTAAGGAAGTAGTTTGAGCTGAGTTGTTCTCTAAACAGTTTCCACTGTTTCAGCCGACTATGGTAGCTCTCCACAACCCATCTTGACTTAAGTATACTGGCAGTCCTCGTTGGCAGTAAGTATATCAACAATCACATTGTCATCTTCACTGAAGCACAAGCTCAGATTCTCAACTGTTCCAAGAATTTTTCTTAAGACATTTGCATCATTTTCATTGCCATAAAAGGCCAAAGAGTGTCTAGTACATAACCACCTGAAAAGACAATGCTCACGAATTTAACATAGTTGCACTTCTTTAGCCCACAGTATAAGGATCTTTGAAGGGGATGAACAGCACTTTTTTGGACATAAATATAGGTACCATCAAGGACTACACAGTTACTTTATCCCCGTAAAAACATCTTGTAAAGGCAATGTTATGGCACTTAGCGTCCTCACGGGTAATGTGTCTTGCACCAAGGAAACGGGGCACAAAGGTCGGGCTCAAGGCTTTTATGACACTATGAAATGTGTGAGACACATACTGTTTTTTTTTGTCAGACCACACAAGACACCAAGTTGACACCATGAAATATTGGTCTTCACTTTAATCCAGAAAAAAAACTAATCATGAAATGTAGAGGAACATGATCCTCTATTGATGTGTGAGGAACAAATGCTATGGTTTTGCTGCATTTGTTCAAGTTTGTAATCAGTCCATGCTTAGAATTCTTCATTTCTGAAATGGTCTACGTTTATGCCTGTGTTGGTTGGAGTACCAGCAGAAAGCTCTTTCTTGAAGACGAAGAGCTAACGGTTATCTTGTTTGCAGATCTAGTGGCAAAGAGGGATTTAGAAAGTAACCAATTACATGGTCATTGCAAACACGAGCAACAGGGGGGCACCATAGAAAATGGAAAAATATCAAGTTTGTCCTGGCACGCTGGGGTATGGTGCATAGCTCAGTGCCCTCTTTTCCACATATGATACACCTCTTATGTGAATTGCCACCATAAAATAATTTCTCAACCGATATTAGTGGTAGTTGGTTAGATGACATGAAATCAGTGTAAGCATCATCTGCATCATTCGCCAGGTTGTACAAGTCTGACTGCAATGACCTTTGCTTGAGGTACCGCTAGTAGCACTTTCCACATAATATGCTTTATTCTGTTATGCTTATGATCTCAGCAGTCATCAGCTGATGCAGCCAGTTGTGCTAGGGTAAATATACATGTCTCACTTGAGCTCGGGCTCCTTGAGATAAATTTTTTAACCTGGTTTTGTAACCACGACCTATGCACATGTCTGACATGATTATTAGTAAACTTGATGGGAGATTTGCAGTAATTGGAATTTAAAACAGAATGTCTGATATAAGTGTAACTTTGTCCATGTAATTGTCTACAGATACCTAGCAAAAATGGTATTAATACTTTATAGTAATATCTTTATATGTTTCAGGAAATTAACATACTTGCACATTCAGGTTCAGACAAGGTTATCATTTCTGGCCTCATTAATTAATCAATTTGAATATCTAACTAATTTATATCCATTATTGTTATGTTTGATGATAAACGAAGAAAAATTATATTGATCATTTAATCATTAAGTTTACATTTTTAATGCCAATATAACATATGTGGTATCAAAATAAGGGACATTTTATTACTTTCGGCTGGTATATAAATATTTTCATTTAAAATTACCATGTAGCAAGTATTTCTCATTATGTTAGGTTGCCTTTGTCACTCAACCTGGTGTTATACGAGGAGGTCCAGTATGACTATAAGTAGTTATAATGACTAATCATTTATGTGGTTGTAGGTTATTTTCATGTATCTAAATATGGCGAAAAATAATAGAAATCTTTGTGGGGCCAAATGTTGACCCCACATTTGGTGTGGTTTCACTAAATATTCATTGAACAAGAAGTATGTGTATAAACATTTTTTCGACTTAGCAGTACAATGAGAACTTTCTTGATATATCTGTGAAATGCCCGATGCTTTTAACCTGTAGTTTTCCCCTTCTTATCATCATAGACACACGTCAGTAATTTTGTAACGTATGTGTGTATTGAATGTACATTATGTGTAGAGGATCCTACAACATTTTCAGTTCTTACATAATTAAGAGGCTAACACAACTTCCCATCTAAATTTCGACATAAGATTTATAAAAAACTTTTCAATCGCGAACTAAAAGAAATTAGATACGAGATATTTCAGCTATCACATCGAAACGGATTTGATTATCTTTATATCACATGATTGATTATTCCTGCAAATGTATAACACTGGTGTTTCTATGTGAAACTTAAAGTCCTTTCAGCTCTTTATCTATGGTGCGTGTGTTACGTTATTTTATTATCTTAACTTATCATTACCATAATCCATATTAAACAAGTATCACAGAGGTGTAATGTAGCTTATTGTCACGCCACTTTAAATAGTGAAATGGTGTCAAAGTTCACAGGTGGCAGGATGATGTAACAATACAAATCATAGATAATTAGATATTGATTAGTCATGGTTCAGACTTGACGCATAATTTCCTTTTTCTACCATAACTTCTTGAAATCGATTATATGATGAAAAAGATACTAAATTTGTTACCATTTGATTTGTAATATATGAAACTCGCATGATTTTTCCTCATTTTAGCAAGCCTTTTCATAAAAATAAAAATTAGATTCATATCTTAACCTGATTCATAAATATATATTTGTAAATAATGTAAGGCGTACTATTTTCCTTTGTATCGAAACTTGCTCAAAGATATTGCGTTTACATTACAGTCAATATTTCAATTAGTAAAGAAATTAATTTTCAACTGCAGCTAATTATTTAATCTATATATTTAATTAATTTGTGTATTTATTTGTATTTATTCGTCAGCTTATTGGCGATTTCACTATCACACGCTACCCTAAATGAAGATATAACAGCAGATGTCTCAGCCTCGATATTCAATACTGTACGAATGTAAAAATAAAAAGGATATATGCAGGACATTTCTATTAATAATGGACAGATCTTGAACTACGACACATCACAGTTTGCTGAGTTATCATTGTCAGTCTGATATATTGAAACATTGATAATATTACGTGTATCATAAAAAGTGTCATTACATAATATTTAAACTCCATGTCAAAGATTGATCAAAAGGCAAGCAAACATGGAATTAGATGCAGTAGAGTAAAATTATAAATTCCATACAGACATGCAATGTTCTAACAAAAAAATGTGCTTTGTGATATGATACCTGCATGTTTACGACATGAATAGCTTTAGCAGTGCATACTACGAAGTTATTTTAAGATGAAATCATGACATAAGATAGCTTCAATGGCAATATGTTTTGTATTCTTGAATGTAGGTAATTTAAAACAGTGTTTTTGCTCTTACATCAACATTTCTAGTGGAATATACAAACATATTCAACTTACCGTAGATTGTAAAACTTGAGAGATGATGTGTTTGCGACATGTTTGTGCATACTTTACTTCATGACAACTTTCTAGTGCTACTACACTGAAGTATACTGCCGAAAACAGGGCATCAAAACTGGTCACCTTATACTAACAACGGGTAAACTAATCATTGCATTACAACGATGCTGAAGCAAAGCAGGAAGAGGTTACTATAATTTCAAAAGACTTTGGAATATGTCGGCCACGTAACCTGAAACCCTCCTCGATGGGGCAAAACTCTCAACTAAAAGGTCTAAAGTGAGGCAGCGTCAAGGGGAATGCACCACAAACATCACTAATTGTTCCACAAATGTCACGCAGCTCTTATGTTAGCATTGTTATTTTCTTATACGATTTAAAGTATTCAAAGACGAAAAAGTGTGTGAAGAAAATTTACCGCTTTGATATAGATAGACAAGATTATACGGCAGTTAGCAATGTCTCATAATAAAACTGAATAGCGTTAACATTAGGTTGTGATAAACGATTACATCATTACTGTATATAAAAACGTTAAATACACGCTCCAAGGCGAAAAGTTATTACAATGCATGTAACATATCTTTCTCTTCGGACGCAAATTAAGCAAAGGTTTAATCAGTTGAGTTTCGAGGTGTGTTAAAAAAGCTGCAAATCTAATGATATTTAAATGAATAAATTTATGCTTAATTGCGGGCATTATTTGTTCAAAGTCATTGCATGCATAACAAGGGGTCAGTCAAATCTGTTCCTTCCAAACTACAAATTTGACTTCAACAACTGTACCTCATGCAATAACAAACATCTCATGTGAATAATAGTAGCATCGACCTGTATAGGCAATGTTTTTTTCTCATTGATAAAGTGTCACCTTTCACTAGTGAAAAATGAACTTTTGTTGACTTACGTCAATGAAAAGTGACACGTGCACACACAAACAAAACCGGAAACCTCAAGGGGTTGTTACTAGTAACAAGGCCTTCAATTCTATTATAAACTTTTATTTCCATAAAATTCATCAAACAATGCAATGTACATTACCTGATCAAGGATCATACCAAATCCCCAAACAAATGTGGAGCTTACACGTTAGACATTTCAAGTGGATTCTTGTCATCATCAGCGACAGCAGTACGTTGTCGCCATATTTTCAGGCGCGTAGTAACTTACCACAGGTAAAACTCTCTGTGAACGTTTTGAAGCAAATTTTGTTAATGACATCAATACGTTTCTATGAGAATACATAATTAATTTACATTGAAATTTGTGGTTACATATTTTGAATAAAAAAACATTTTCTCGCGTATTGCGAAGTGGTAATGGGTGAGTAGAATGTGCAAAAGGCCTAGTCAGCTTTCTCATTTTTATGTGTACTGAATATATTTTACTTGTAGACAATTCATAGTGACTTCAGAAATAATAAACATATCTTATTACTGTGTCAAATATAATTGTATCTTTCATGAGTGCTGCTATGATACTGTTTATTAGACACGTTTGTGAAATGTATTTGCTTTTACAGAATTATCAATTTATCAAATATCATGTCTCTATTAATTGATATTCAGGTGGACTGTGTCCGGAAAGAACCACTACACCATCACAACCGTCAATGTCCACAACTCTGGGAATGAGGACAGCATCAACCATGCCAAACACTACAATGCCACCCACCTCTTCACCACACCCGATCACGGATACGCGTCTACCTACCTCTGTAAAACCTCTTCACTATGAGTTAAATTTGAGACCAGAGATGTACAATAACAAGCCGGAGACATTCACTTTCAATGGAACCGTGGCTATAAAAGTAGAATGCAAAAGTTCCACAGACAATATAACACTCCATATTGCCACGCAGAATCTTACCACTACCCCAACTGTAGCGGCATCAGATAACACTGAGGTATCTCCTGTTGTACTCCACACCATTAGGGATGTGACAAGACAGTTCCTTATCCTGACTCTAGATAAACCATTAGTAGTTGGAAATCGGTATGTCGTTCGATTAGCTTTTGAAGACCGACTGTCCAATACTGTTCTTTTAGGAATGTACATAAGCACCTACATAGACGAAGCAGCTAATGTGACCAAGTAAGTCAGTGGAAGAGAATGTTTTCCGTGTAATTCTAATGAGCACATTGACTGGTAATAAACAGAAAAATGGTAATAGTGTAATATTCTTTTACCGAGAAATTTGCAAAATGCATAATAAAGGTATATACAGGTATGACACAAATCCCATACAATGTAGAGCTTTGCAAATGTTTAAATTGTATAAGATGGTTCTACAGAATCATTTAAACCATGACAATTGTATAAAAAAAACTATTTATCTATTAAAAGTGGAAATGGGTAATCACCATATAAGGACAGATACTTAAACTTGAAATACTTTTTGTTACAGATATACATGCTGATCATTAAAGAAATATTTTTCATATAGATATATTGCAGCAACCCAATTTGCACCAACATACGCGAGACATACGTTTCCTTGTTTTGATGAGCCAGCATTCAAGGCGACGTTCGACATCACATTGGAGCGACAACCTCACATCATCAGTCTCTCAAACATGCCCCTCGCTAATTCAATAACTCTGTAAGTACAGCAGAAATAATACCAAAGAATCCAAAATCGAATGGGGTAACCGCTCCTTGCATCATCTTAATATACCTTATGTATGGATATACTCTATTGTATTTGATCAAAATAGTCACAACTATAAATCTTAACAGACACACAGATATGGTAATGGCACGCCATGCCAAAATACAAATCATTATACAGAACTTGAAATCAACACAAAACATTGTAAATTTGATAACTGCTGAATCATATCCATGGTTGTATACAAGCAAATAAACAGTGTTAAGCATCTTAATATCATATATTCCCATTAGAATTACCAGTATGATCGTATGCTTTCTGCATCAATAATTTTAGTTTTAGTGTATTTGATGGACAGGTGTCTTATGTATCTTATCACAGATTCACGTTTATTATTTTAGGATGTACCTTGTTATATTTTCATTCAACGTCCCGAAATCATTCCAAACTCGTAGTTAAAACAATCTCACGGGAGACATATAAAATAGTTGCAGCAGCAGCCATCAGTTCTTAGAAAATTCTCAATAATCACTGGAAGAATCGGATCCTAGCGTGTAAATTTAAAATGAAATGTAAACATGTATTTTCTAATTTAATCTTGTTGGTTGTAGTGGGTTTTTGAGATCCTGTACTGGGAAATAACGGAACTAAAATATTTGAGTACAATAGGTTAAAACATTTTTTGGGAATGTTATTTGTTGAGAAGTCGAACCAACTGACATTCCAATGCAATATTTTTTTCTTAGTTGGGGCCTCGTAAAATCTCGTAAAATTCGCATGACGTCAGTAGCGTAACAATGGATTATTAGATTACTTTATGCAGTTTAAGTTTAACAGACATTTTACCTGTTCTGGGAATGTGAATGCAAAACACACTGAAAAAAACATGTTTAACAATTGATTGCAAAAACGAGAGCATATGATTCAGCAACACTATCACTCATCACCATACCGACGTTACAAAAGGGCTTTATACTGGTATAATTGTTCTTGTAGGGGAGATGGTTACGTTGCGGACCATTTCGACGTTTCAGTCACGATGTCGACATATCTTGTTGCTTTTATCTTTGGCGAGCTGGACAGTGTAAAGAATGTAACGGAAAATAATGTTCTGGTGAGGTTTGAAGATGTTAGACACGACAACATCGTAAACTGCATACTTTACACGGGAACCTTTCCTGTTTCCCTCTCTATCTACATTGAATATGCCGAAAACAACATATTGATTGGTGTTTCATGTTTAAAATGCTTGTAGACAAATCAAACTAAACAATTGAGTACTCGATTATTTCTTGATTATCCGTTTTGATTTAAGCATTATTTCACGTTGTAACATCCACCTATGATTCTGCAATGTGACCATATATATCAAACCTTAAAACGATATTAAAATGTCATTGCACGAATGGTCTGGATCAAGGAAGTATTTCATTTACAAATATCCTGAAAATGTTGAGGATCTAATAAAATTTACGTCGATTTTACCATTATGTATAATAACACATTTGTGATATGTATAGTTGTGATAATGCACCACAGACTGAAAACTTCGTACGTACATCGTGCGCAGATCATGCGCGCACACGCACGACATAGTATCATGTGCACAACTGTGCGATAGGGTCGCACATTTTGTGGGGTTTGGTAAAAAATGGTGGGCTTAATATTACGTATTAACAATTTATCGGAAATTTGTGAAGTTAATACAAAATACAAAAAATCAAATGAACATTAATATTGATCGTTGATTTTGAAAGTCATTTTCAATTCTGCAGTTTTCGGAATAACACTGGACCTGCATTGGAAAGTCTTATCGTATATAGTTTCACACCTTAGAAAGTGGCGGGTAGTGGTGCCTCGGCCAACAAAAGTTGCTGTATAGGGGTATATATGTGACAGGTCCGGATCCGTACCGGCTGGGTCGCCCCTGTAACAAGCACAACATTTAAACTTTACCCGAGTAAATTTATATATATTTTTGTGAATGAAAAATTAAAGTAATAGAGAAGTAATGAAAATAGAATTTCCAGTATGAGATTTTAAATGATTCATTACTGTCCCGTAAAGATACCTCCATTTAATGGTTGCATATATAATGTAATGTAGGTCCGTACACAAAGCTTGTTACGTGTGGCTCTTTGTAAACAAAACACTTAAAATTACGCGTGAATTAACTATTCGGTGATTATCTGATATATCTACAAGTGTCCAACCTTTATATCAATGGCTTAATTAGGATATATACTTTGTTGTAGTGTTATGTATTTAGAAAATAAATAACCTCAGTACCAAACTTATTCATAAGTCTTTTCTAAATTCATATCAACAACGACCGAATCGCACATTTGTACGATAGAACCGCACAACATGCGCACAAATGTGTGATTGCTTAGTTTGTCCAATTTTCCTATCGTGCGCACATCATGTCCACAACTGATTCAACAACTGTGTATATATATACATAAGTACACATGTTTATTTCAGTTTGGGGTGTATACTACTCACAAGAACATCAACCAGACAGCGTTTGCACTTAACTTAGGCAGCAGACTTCTTGATACATATGAGGAGTATTTCAATATTTCCTTTGTTCTTCCAAAACTCGGTAAGACCTGTTTATTTTTACAGTTATTCTCCATTTTACATCAATTAACGAATGCTTCCAATGAATTAGAATGTTATTGAACCCGAGTCAAATAGAACGTTCATGTATTGTAAAAGGGAATATTTTCTAAATAATTTGATATTTAACAAGCATCTTACCAACGTTCGTTAATGCAAAAAAGTTGATAAATAATGCAATATAGAGTTTCCTACCCATGGGTTATTGAGATTTTTGGTTGCATTTTCATCATGGTAGAGATGGTTTCGGAATGGTTTTATTATGGCATTCATAGTCGTTATAAGTTTCAGATATACGGCTAACGTTCCACCATACTTTCAGCTTGCTTCTAAACGTTTCAGCTACAAATAAATGCTGCAGCAACTGATTGCAGATGACTTTGGAACTAGTCCTTCATTAGCTTATTCTTGTTCTACCTGTACTTATAACTATGGTCAACTGGGCACATAGTAACTGGTTATTAAGCATTATCTAAAATGTTAAGCTACGAGAGCTTTTTATGGCGGGTCCCAAATATCGTGAATCCCTTTCCTTTAATTGGAATATGAATTTCAAGATACTTATATATTCTGTTAGATAATGGACGAAACGAGAACATGTTGCGTTGGATTTACTTTCTGAGTGAATTAAGTTCTTTCGGTACATCATTCGTAAAAAGAATTCGCAGTTTGAAATCGAAAATTAAAACGACAACACAAAGGTTAGCTTTCCTCGTTCATTATGTTAAATCGACACTTCAAGATTTACATGATAGGTATGTTATTGTGCCTGCATATAATCCGTCCGATAATTTGATTTTTGTCTGCAAACAATATTTCATAACTTTCTGGATAACGAAGGAAACCTTACCTACTCATTATGCCATCTAAATACTAGCTAGTCGTGATTCGATATTACAATTATTTAGATTGTCTATCAATGATAAGAATACGAACCTCCCCCGTTTATACTGGATCCCTACACTTCACAAGAATCCATATAAACAACATTTTATACCTGACTCGTCTAACTTTTCATTCAATCCTTTGACTTAACTAATAGCCACAATTCTAAGTACCATTCTAAGGACTATCAAATCTGGGTTACAGTCTGATTGTGTTACTGTTTACTCAAGAATGGAATTAATATCATGTGGATTTTGAAGAACTCCAAAGATATTTTGACCAATCTTTAATACCATCCTTTAAAAATAATTTCGTCTATACGAACATTTTATCTTTCCATCCCATACACAATCATTCCCCATTCTAAACTAATGGAACGCCATCACCCTCTTGTTATGAGAGCTTTCTTCTCAAAACAAAGGTGAACGGTGGTATAATTATATAGCTGCGAATATGCTGAAGCGTATTTCGCAAAAGTTACGTCCAAATCAACGAAACATTATACGGAGGACGAAATCATAAAAAAAGATCGAGTTTATGGTTGACATCTTCATCGAATACGATTATTGGCATACCTAAAGGAACCAACTTCGCACCTCTGTTGGCTGACTTGTTTTGTTTTCAATATATTGAAAAAATTATCAAACTAGGTCACCTTGCAAAGTCGTTTAATATCACCTTCAGATACGTTGATGATGTCCTGTCTTTCAATAATAAGAAATTGATCGACTACGTCCATCGTGTATATCCATCACAACTTGAAATCACGTCCATCGTGTATATCCATCACAACTTGAAATCACGTCCATCGTGTATATCCATCACAACTTGAAATCACGTCCATCGTGTATATCCATCACAACTTGAAATCACGTCCATCGTGTCTATCCATCACAACTTGAAATCAAAGATACAGTAGATTCTTTTATATCAGCAGCTTACCTCGATGTTTTCCAACAACGAAACCAACATGGACAGCTTCCATCAAGCTGTATGATAAACGTAATTATATCATTCTACAGAAAATAAATGCTGATTTGAATCTAGTGGCATTTTATATAAGTATATTGCTGCACAGGCAAAGCTGTCTACCCCGACTGATAATATTACATATGCGTTTTTTTAATCTTAAATTACTCAACAGAAGTTCTTTACCAACTTTGTGTTTGGTGCCATGGAGAATTGGAGTCTGATGATACAGAGAAATGTTCATATTGAACATGGAAGGTGTGACGACCACACATGGTACTGAATTTACGGCCGAGATTTTAGCACACGATCTCCCATTCAGTAAGTAGTCAAATATATATATTGCGAACAGCTAGGGAATAATGCATGCGCTGTTTTCGATGCACCACCGCATCCACTGTAAACTTGTATTTGGCATAAACATTTTGTGTATGTACTCCTCCTAAAACGCACATATGACGTTCTAAGAAGATGAATGAAATAAAAAGAGCAATAATTACGTCAGAAGTTATTACAAAGTGGAAATAAACCAAATTCAGAACTCATTTATTAATCTAAAGTGTACCTGACCTGATCTAATCATAAAAACCTCGTGACATGGTGCTACTATGTTACCTTTCTATCTGTTCGTTACACCACATTTCATCACATCTATCCGTAAACGATGCAGATTATTATTTGTTTTCTGAGAAATATGATTTTAAATTAAGGGCGGTTGGTGTTTCTCGAACCGAGGTCAAGGACGTGTCCCTCTACTGAAACATTAACACGATGCTCTGAATAATATAAGTATCACATGCTGTTCGGTTAAGTAAACACCACAACTGCACAAAGACTCCCAAGTATTCAATTGGCTATTAGATTGTCATTTGATGGTCTTGATGAAGAGTCAACAAAATAAGATAAATGCTTATTTCTATCAACTATCAATCATGAAATCGAACACTAAATAATTCATATGCTTATCATTATGTAATAATAACATACATTCTTGAAAATGGATCTCTTTGTTTCATTTCGTAGTGGTTCGGGAACCTTGTATCTCCGGCCTGGTGGGATAATGTAGTTAATGAGAAGGGTTTGCTACTTTCCTGTCTTACCTCGGAGTAGATCTCATAAGTACTTCATGGGGGATGGTGAGTATAAAGCTCTATGGAAAATTCAAATTGTGCAAACAACACTGGCGGGTATGTCTCATGGAATGATTGTAGGCGGGCCTAATAAACAGTGTTTATGAATTGTAGATGGACCTAGTAAACTTGTATATCATACAACCGGTGATGGACGTGGACGACGCTGAAAGTATCTTATTTTTCCTATATTCGAGAAGCATACACCTCGGCCCAGATAATTGGTCTATTTTGACATCATCACCTACTATAAGGTAAGCTAATTCTACACTTTGCCTTGATAGGAAACTGACTGTTTCTTAACAACAACATCAATAACAGTGCCGACATGTTATCAAACTTTCAATTGATACTGGAATTCGATAATATAACGGAATCGTATAAACAATATAAGCAACAAGATTTAAAATATTAAGGGGAATCATCTAGATCTCCAGAAGGGTAAGCGTCTACTG